AGGGTGGACTTGTGGCTTCCCAGAATGCTTGATGTTCCTGGGGAGGGGGAGTAGGGAAACTTCTCTAAGAAGGAAAGGGAGCCCCATTGGGCCCTCCATCCCAGATTTACTTGCATCTGTTCTTATTAAAGTGCCATTTTCTAAATATCATATGTGTACATTGTTCCTTTCTTCCAGTTTTGGAATGCCAAGGTGTGCTATGGTTCTGCCAGGTCACCAGGTTCTGCCATGTTTGAAGTTGCTGTGGAACTTGGAGGCCATGGCTGCCCAGAATTCTTGCTGTGGCTTCTAGGCCCTCCATGAACATGCCTGATCACCCTATCCAGCCTTACCACGCACTACCCCCACTTCAACTTGCTACCAACCTATTGAAACTCTTCACTTCCTCAACTTTGCTTGCCAAGATCTCGCATACCCCTGGGAGGAGAACTTCCTTTTCACCCTATTGCCTGGTTCAAACCACTTTTCCACAGATGTGAGTTTTTCCAGGAAATCTTACCTCACCCTCTGAAAAGCTGGGTCAGGCATCTCCTACCTCCCCCTGTCTCCTCTCTAATTGTGAGCCCTAGAGAGCAGGTAGGACATCTTGTGTGCAATACAGAGGTGCTGGCCTCCAGCCTGCAGAGGTGGCTCACATAAAATGATTCTCTGCAAATATTAAACACACACAAGCATGTGTGATGTCCCTAAGTGACTGAGGGACCCTTTGGGACAACCCACAAAATGGAACCTTCCTCTTGTCTCAACATCTGTGAGGTAGTATCAAGCTCTGCTATTCCTGGTACCATGATCCTTTGCCAATTAGCCTACACAGTGTGCCCAAGGACAGAGAAAAGTCTTGATTTTCGGATTTTAAAATCAATGTAGCTAATTAAAAAATAACTCATTGAACTGAAAACAAGTTCAGAAACAATTAAGATAATTAAAATATCAGCACCTTAATTGAGACCAAGCAGTGAGCTCAAAAAATAAAATTAATTTAAAAAAAAGAAACTTAGATGGAACTGGTAATTAACTGGCTTTTGAATTCAATACTCTGCAGCTCAACAAATCTCTTTAAATTAATTCATTCTTGGGATTTTTTTCTTTGAGAAAGGTTTTTGTAAAATTTATTTGAGAAAGATAATTGGACATGCGTCCCATACCATTTGACCCTTGATTGGCTTTTGCAAGAAGACAGGCAGGAAAGATGGAATTAACCTTCAATGCATGCCTGCTCTGTGCTAGGCACATTGTCCGAGTTTAGGTCCACATGAGTCTTACAGGTATGGTGATGCAAATGGTACAGGGCACTCATCTTCTAGAGAGTGCTGCATGCTGTTACCAAGCATGTGCAGAGGGAGATTAAAACTTGCAGCATAATCTCCAGGAAATCATTAGCACCATGACAGGGAGGCTTTGAGCCTGGCTTTGGGCTCTCACTGACACTCAGTGCTTTCTCCCTACCTTCTCACCTCCATCTTATGAAAAGGCTTCTTAAATGCCACTTACTATTCAGATCTCTTATCATTCCCTTTAGAAAGAGGAGCCACACATCCCTGTCCAGGACCAGTGGTTGTGGGAGCCTTTCAGGAGTGTCACTGCTGCATTGAAATGGAAATGACGCCCTCACATCCCCTTTCAATCCCCATATTGCTGTTTTTCAAAATCAAAATGCATCCTGGTGATTAAACAAATGCTGACAGCTTGATTTGTTACTGTTTTGTTGTTCTGTGAAGTTCATTTACTCTAAATAATTCGCATACATGTTTCAAGTATTCAGACCCTAGTAATTAATTTCTAGCAGACTTGATTTCTGTATGCAAATTGTTAAGTATGTGTGTGGAGTTAAATGATAATTTCATTATTATTACTTTTTGTTGGATTTTTTTATTATTATTTTTTTATTTGTTAAGAAATGTCAGCTTCTAGGATCCCAAGGGTTATCTATACTAGTTAGATTAATGGCAGGATGACAAGATTGCAGAAGAAGAGTTGACCAGACCACAGGTCAGGTGACTCATTTGGAGGATTGCTGCATCCAGAGAGGGCGGTTGTTTGGAGATGTCCATCCTACCCTCTGGGGAATGAGACTGGTAACCTAGTCCTGGGGGCATACAGGCAGGGTATTGCTATCACAGTTTCAGCAGCACCCGATGCCCTGGCAGCTCCCTCTTTCTTTTGGCCATTAAATCTCAGTTGCCTTTCAGGGCTCTCAAGAATATGGTGCCATCTGAGCTTCAAACCTGGGTAAGGTTGGACCCTTGCCCAACAAAGATCCTAGTTGTTTCCCATGCTGGAGTCACGTAGTGAGGAGTTCAGGTTCACAGACCTGGTTTTCAAATACTCTCTGCACCTCTCATCAGCAGCTTTTTTCTCAGACCTGTGTTTATAAAATGGGGATATTAGCAGCAGCCACCTCCTTGGATGCTTGCAAAGATTAAGCAAGGTAATCCAATTAGAGGGCTGGGTTCACTGGTTGCATGTCAGAAGCACTCAGTGGTGCTAACTATTGTTCTTGTGATTATGAAGGCTTACTATTCAGTCTGGGAACAAAATACAAACCTGAAGAACCTAACCCATAAGAGGTGCTTAACACATACCAGGTCTGTTGTAAGCACTTGCAGATATTAACTCATTTGATACTTAAGTCAACCAACCAGCCATGATAGATGTTATTATTCCTCTCTTACAGAAGAGGAAATTGAGGTATAGAAAGGTTAGTAAATTGCATAGCCAGGGCCCCATCCCAGAAGGCCTACTCTGGAGTCTGTTCTCTTTCCTTTTATTTCTGCTCAGCTGATTGACTTTCTTTGTGACTGTACCATCCAATCAGAGCTGGCAGTATGAACATTACATAGTTGAGAAGTTGTCTATAGAAGCAAAAATAGTTCAGATTCTGCCTCAAAGCTTGTCATGTCCTACTGCAGATTTCAATGCCCATTCTTCTTGGCCAGCCTACTAACCTCCATCTCTGAGAACTACTTAGTGCAGATCCCAAGGTCTCTACAGCTCTTGGTACCTACTAGGAAAATAGCCTACACTGGTAACTATGGCGGGACTGCTAGTCATTGGGTCCCCAGGTTTCCTGAGATTCATAGTGGTGGATGGAAGTGTGAGAATGGGCATGGCCATTGTTGGTGGTCATCTGGTAATCCTTTTAATTGTTGACTCAGTTTTGTAAAAGTCTTGGAAGGTAAGCCCATGTTGACTTGGCTGCAGCTCTGGAGGTGGGGGTGGAGAATTATGCATAAGGAAAAGTCACTGGCAGAAATTATACCATCCTCCTAGCTTCTCAAGCAGACATCCCTAGAAACTAAGGAAGTTCTATTTGGGGCCAGGAAGCTCTTGCTTCAAATTTCTAGAAGGCCTAGCCTTGGAGGAATCTGAGGGCAGATATAGACCTCTCTCCAATTTGTCTCCAAGGCAGCCCTCAGCTTAAGAACAAGGAATGAGCATGTGGGCCTTGGCACTTGAATCAGCTTCTCTTTTTTTTTTGTGCCTCTTTCTGTATCAGAGAACATCTTTTGAGGGTTAGGCTTTTCCAGTGGCTTCTCTTGGACCAGAATCTGGATCTTGTTGCTGTCCTGACTAACCTAAGAATGTACCCTGGTCCCATTTACAGTTGCTTTGGGAGGGAGCTGCCTTGAGCTGTTCACACAGCAGAAATGCCGGTTTGCTCTGTGTTCAGGATTTTTGAGGAGTTCTTGGCAACCCTCTGAAGGAAATGGTGCTCAGAGCCTGGACCTGGGCGTGAGGAGGGAAACTGCTCTTCTCTCTGTGACAGCTGAACGAACTGGTGGAGTGGATGATGGCATTTGTCATGGAGTTTTGCTATCCCTGCTTGCAATGCCATTTCATTTAACCAAATGTCTGCATGGGGAGGAAATTGAGAAACCTCACATCCCTGGCTGTAGAGAGCAGTTATGAAAGATTTACCTCCTAATAGACATTAGGCTCCAGATCTGGGATATGGCACAATTGCTTTTGTTTTGCAGGAAGTTCCTTTGGGCCTCTTCTGGGCCTAAGATGAGCATGTGCACCTCAGCATGCTAAGTGCTGATTATCCAGGAGCCTGCTGCTCAAGCTTATTCCAGAATATGTTGCTGTATATGAACCTCTGTCTTTGGGGATGCTTTCTTGAGTTACTTCTTTGAGTCAACTCCCTTTCCCTCATTACCCACCCACAGACCACACTTAACAGTCATTGAATTTCTCATGATTGCCCACACAGGCCTTCCTGCATTTGCCTATGCTTGTCTCCCTGCCTGGTTTGCCTGTTCTATCTTTGCTTTTCAAAATCCTACCCATCCTTCAAGATCCAATTCACATATTAATGCTTCACTAAACTTTGCCCTAGAAATTGATCTCTATTTTTCTCTCAAGCTCTGTTATCATTTTATATGCCCATCATGGCCCTTATCTAATTCTGCTTTGCACAATAAATATTTATGTGTAAGTTTTTCCCCCCCTCTCCCTCCCTGTTACGTTGTAACTTTGTGTGGCACAAAACTGTCTTACGCATCTGGAAGTTCTCTACAAACTTAAAATAGGTTATTAATGCACATGGCCTGTATTTATTGAACTGAAGCAAAAACCTATGTCCTTAAGGGCTTTTTAGGTGATAGGAAATAAGTAAAATTAAGCATGAATGAAATCATAAAAACCAACACCAGATAAATAACCAAATGGGGAAGCTTTGGTAGCTCTTGTTCCTCCGATCATGTAAGATTCTAAAGGATTTTTTTTTACAGTAATTCCTGCTTGAAATGAAGATACTAAAACTCCCAAAGCACCAAGGAATCACTATCCTGATGTTCAAGAAGAGCATGCGTGATAGACACAGAATTCCCTCTGGCTTGGGTTTTCATTTCAATCCCCACCAGTCTCAGAAAACAGCACAGAGTTTTCTCTGTGCAAACACACAATTGGTTTATTTCCCATTTGTTTATTTGAATAGCAGTGGAAATTAAATTTTCTTGGAGGTCCTCATGCCCCTCTTCTTTCTCCTTTCGCCTCAGCCCTGGACCCATCCAAGGACCCCTGCCTGAAGGTGAAATGCAGCCCTCACAAAGTGTGTGTGACCCAGGACTACCAGACAGCCCTGTGTGTCAGCCGCAAGCACCTGCTGCCCAGGTAAGACAGGAAGCAAGGTGGGTGGAGGGTGGGAGGCGCTCTGCAGTTGGTAGATCTAAGGGTACCTGGACTCAATTGGGGAACATAGGAAAAGGGAGAGCATAGTGTTTGTGCTGCCATTTCGTAGGATATTTGGTGCCTATATCCTTGCCTAATGGTATGAATCTCCGTTTTCAAACACAAATTTGCAAAGAACATTCATCTTAATTCCTTTAAATCTACTTAATTTTTATTCTGCATTCTCATCTGAGCAGATGAACAGAAATCCATTCTTGGTCATTATTTTGTACCTTCCTTTTCCATGAGTGACCTTAAGATCCACTAAGGTTATTGCTAAGAAATCAGAGGTTGGACCTTTTGTCCCCTGGTTGTATCTGATTATGCTAATCCTTTGAGACCTTGAGGCCAGAGGGTCTCTGCTGCCATAACCCTCCTGCCTTCTACCATTCTACCTTCTACCTTCTACCTCCTGCCACACTACCATTCTTTCCTAGATTATGTCTTGCTATTTGCTGGGGTATAGCAGGCCTATCCCTATTTACCAAGCCCAGGGGGAGTTCTCCCCAATTTTCTCTTCTTCCTTATAGCCCTGATTCTCAATGCCACCCCACCCAGCACTAGCCACCCAGAAGGCTTAGACTTAACAATGATGGAAACAGACTTGAATTCAGGCTGCTTATATTTTCAGTCCCATAAGAACATTCAAAACAAGAAATCAGACACACAAACGTGTGCGTGCACTCGTGCGCACGCACACACACACACACACACAGAGGCTTTCTTTAAGAAAGGGGCTGAGTGGAGGTGAGAGGAAGGTGATTTCAATGCCCTTTCTACACTCCCCCTTGAACTGCTTGTGCAAGTGAGCAGTGCAGCAACACCATGTCGGAGTTTCGCCCAGTTGTGTCTTGAGCAGCTTGCTCTGCCACTCACCTGGAATGCACCATAACTTAGGAAAATATAGCAGGCTTCCTTAACTTCATTCCCACTGAAATTGACCTCCCTAGAACTTTCGCTTTATTAGCTCTGGATTAACCACCTGAGATCCTGAAGGATGGGTACTCTTCCCTCTCTTAATCCTTAAAGTCTAACCAGTGCAGGCTCCTTTAGGCTGTTCTCGTTAAAATACATTTTAATTGCCCTTCCTCCCCTAAGTGATTTTCTCTAAACATGCCTGTGGAAGTGCCACCCCTGGGATCATGATCTGGCAGAAAGACAGTACTCCTATCATAGGGTGACTCTGCCATCTCTGGCTTCTCTAAGCATGGCCCCTGCAACCATAGACCTGACCTTCATCTCCCTCTTCTCCTTCAGAATCGTCTTGTTCAACAAGACTTTCAAGGTTGTTTTAAGCATAGTCAGACAAAAATGCAAGGTATTATAATGAGCTTTTCTTGTCCTCCTAACTGGAAGGTTCTTCCTTTAATAAAGACCCATCCTGTCCCTGGAATGTGTAGCACATTCCAGGTGTTGTGCTCAGCATCCTTGTCCTTGAATTCTTTTTTAAATTTGGTATTTTTTTTAATCTCCACTCTACAAAAGAGAGAACTGAGGCAGAGTGAAGCATTCGTGATTTGCTTGTATATCTAACAAGTGGCAACCATTATTCAAACCCAGGATTATCTATCTAGCTCTAAAGCTTACATTTTTCACTACTACAATATGTTAGCCTTTTCATTCTACCTTCCCTTGTCTATGGTTTATTTGCTGTTATTCAGCAAAAAGCTGTGGAATACCTACTGTGTGCCAGGCTTTTGTTAGGCCCCAGGGTTTCAGGAGGTCCTATTCATATACTCAAGGAAAATCAAGGTCACTGGGAACTTTGATGTAAAAAATGTATTTTGGTTGATATTTGAAATTCTTTTAAAGGTTATGTACTCTAAGAAAACATGCCTCAATCTCCTGCTGCATGTGATTTCTGCCTTCCCTGATGGAGAGAAATGTGGTTTCCTTTGTTGAAAATTCCCAATTTCTCTCTGAGATAGTGTCTAGGTTGTTCAGTTATCTGGTTGTGTGTGTGTGTGTGTGTGTGTGTGTGTGTGTGTGTGAGAGAGAGAGAGAGAGAGAGAGAGAGAGAGAGAGAGAGAGAGAGAATATCCCTTGCTTGTTTCTTCCTAGATTTCAAAATTCAGACTTTTTTTAGAAATACCAGAGTAGAGGTTTGTGGTTTTAAATTCAAATCTGTTTGAGACCAAGGCAGCAACCTTGCTTGTATTCAGACATATCCAGGTAAATGATATTTTCCTGGGCAAGTCATGTTTCTGATCATCACATTTTTGCCTATGTGAAAAGTTTAATCTTCATCTCCCATATCTCCTGGTGACCACAAAATCATAGTGGCTTAGAGCATGGATTTGGGAATAAGACCAATCTGGGCTCAAGTCTCATTTTGGCTACTATTTGACTATGTGACCTTGGCAAGCTACTTTACTTCTGAATTTGTGTTTCTTCACCTGTTAAATGGGTTTGATAGTTGCACTTACATAGGGGATAACATACACAGTGTAATGTCAAAAAAAATGTTAGATATTCTTCCACTTATTGAAACAATGACTATAATAGTTATTGTTACTGTAAGGTTCATTTTGCAATTTAAGCTAGAAATCCCCAAATCTGCATACTCCTAAGAAAAAATAGCTCCCTACAGATGCCTTTCCCCTCTAAGGCTCACGGTGCTGTCTTTACTGTTCTTGCAAAGGTAAGTGTGAGGATTACAGTGCACTTCTATTGTCCCCTTGATGATTCACACAGGTAAGGACCAAGAAAATGGCTGCATTTATAATACTAGGACATTTACTGGAAAAATATTTCAAAGAGGCAGCTTTGACTGAGGGGACATGCCTACTTCCCTTGTTGGGACTGGGTGGTGGAGTGGCTCCTGCAGTGGTGTTCGCTGTGGTTGTGGGTCCAGCCTTGTCCTCGACCTCTCAGAGGCTGAATTACTCAGCCCACATGATCAGCCGATTGCATACATCTTCTGAGGGTCTTGGACATCTTCCCAGATGAAACATCTGTCCTTCCACATTATACTTCAGGGGTCCCCTCTGATCAGGGAAACCATGTTGACAACTCTATTTATTCATCAATCAGGAAAGTAATCTTTCTTTCTTCAAAACATCTGTGGACAATTGTGCCAGCCAAGCTGGCCTCTACAGCAGCACAGTGGGTGAATCCCGCCCTCCAGACAGTCAGGAGTGTGCACATGTGGAGAGGCGGCTGAGCCAGCCTTAGGCTGAGTATGAGACTCCAGATTTAGGTTGCCTTTGCAAGCGGAAGACAGAAGGACGGTGAACGAATCATTGACAGAATTTCATTAGCTTTGGGTTTTTTTTTTTTTTTTTTTTTTTGGTTGGTGCAGATTGAGTGATTGGAGAAGCCCTTGGGTGCACACATCTGTGACCACAGCATTTCAGGGCCAACCAAGCAATTTTGTCAGGGATTGTGGAGCGGGTAGAGGGTTGTGTAATAGGGCAGGGCAACACAGCCCTCCTTTTGCTGGAATCTTCTCCTTGATTGAGGTGGTATTTGTATTAGGATATGTATTTGGTTTCATTCTGAAGCTTCAGCTCAATTCATGTTGTTTTTGAAGAATTCTGGAAATTCTTTGTTTTACTTCTTATCATTTAGCAATATTGGCAGGGGTGGGAGAAGGCTGATTTTTGGTAGCATGTCCCCCCTCAAGGTTTCCAGGGACATTTATGCACTAAAGAACAGTGTGCAGTGGCTTGGATCAGGAAACCTTCTCTTAAGTGACTTTTCCAAAAATACTCCAGGCTATTTTTGATTTAACTATAGTCAATGCCTATTATAGGAAACATTAAAAGTTAGAAAAATTTAAAAAATAACCCAAAGGAAAGAAGTAGGGGTCACTGTATCTAAAAACAATAATAAAATTTTCCCAATGTATTTCTTCTGTCTTTTATTTCTTCTTGCCATAGGTTTTGTTAGGTGAGTTGTTTTTAATTAACAAGCAGTAACATACTGCATATAAAAATTTGGATTGGACCCTCTTAATTAATTTATATAAGAGATTTTTTTTGATACTACAAACTATGTATGCAAATTTTAATGACTAATAACGTACTATACAAAAGAAGTTAACTTGAGGTAGGTCATAAATTTAAATGTAAGAGCTAAAACTATAAAACTTCTAGAAGAAAACAGGAGCAGTGACCTTGGTTTTGACAGAAATTTATTAAGTAGGGCACAAAAGCCATGAGCAATAGATGCAAAAAGAAAGAACAAATTAGATTTCACCAAGATTAAAAATGTCTGATCTTCTGAAGATACTTTTACAAAACTAAAAAGGCAAGTCACCCTAGAAGAAAATTCCGCAAAGCACATACCACAAAAGATTTGATTCTGAAATAGGTAATGAAAGCACATGTACTCATGGATGTTCAGCTTTATTTGTAGTAGCAAAAACAAAAACAAAACAAAAAACACAAATAAAACAGAACAACAACAACAAAACCCTGAAGTTTTATCACTGTATAAATGGATAAAAACATTGAGGTCCATCCAATATAATGGATTACTACTCTGCAATAAATAACAAAGGGGCTATTGATACATCCAACAACATAAATGGATCTGATTATTATTTTGAGTGGAAGGGGAAAAAAAAAAGACCAAAAACCAAGCATAATACCGTATGATTTCCACTTACATGAAAATTTAGAAAACATAAAAACTCATCTATGGTGACAGAAAATCCCTCACTATTTGCTTGAAAAGAGGAAGATGATCATGGTCAGTGGTTGCCTAAGGCTACAAGGCTTGATAATGAAGTAGATCCTTCTGGAAAAAATGAAGTCAAACTCTGGTCTTAGATGCCAGAGATCCCACTGGTCAATGGGTTTGTTTGTTAAAATTTAAAAAGGCTTTATTACAATGGAGTATTATTCTTTTTGGCAGGTTTTAAATACATATATACCCTGAGGAGTTCTTTTTTTTTTTTTTTTTTTTTTTTTTTTTTTTTWAAAGAGAGAGTGGGGGGG